ACAGTTCCAGGTGCTACAATGCAGATAAAACTTGAAGACTATGCTGAGTGAAATAAACCCGTCATGAAAGGACAATGTATGATCCCACTTTTATGAGATACCTGGAGTAGTCAATATCCAGCACAGAAAGAGATGGTAAAATGGTGGCTACCAGAGGCTGGTAAGGGGAAATGCAAGTTGTTGTTCAATGGCTACAGAGATTCAGTTTTGCAAGATGAAAAAGTTCTAGAGATCTGTTGCACAACAACATGCTTACAATTAACACAATGACCTTAAAAGTGATTGCCATTGGAAATATTTAGACTAAGTTCATTAGCAAATCAATTAAATGCGGGGGGGGGGGGGGAAAGGCATAGAAAGCAACCATGGATACCAGAGACAATGTGGGAGGAGGGTGAGACATGACAGTTGGTGAGGGATAGGGAATCAAGGATGGCAAAAAATATATATATATACAGGACATAAGAAATGGAAAATTATTTGTTGATAACATGTATGTTGATGTGCTTGATTGAGCCAATATACAGTGTATTCTGGATGGGAAATTCATTTTGTATGCTGTAATGATGTATAGTGAACTAATGTAAATAAATAAATTTAAAGAAAAAAGTGATTAAAAGGGTAAACTATATATTGTGTTTTTTAATCACAATTTTTTTTGGGGGGAAAGGTTTTTGCTACAGGGTGCATGCGCTTGCCAGAAAGACAGAGAGAGACAGAGAGACAGAAAGTGAGAAGTAACCCCCCAGGGGGGATGGCCACGCCACAATCCCTTCTCCTCCATTCTCCTCTCAGGATCTTGGGCACACATGCACACACGCCCGGCATGAGTTTAAGCCGCCTGGTCCGGGACTCGAACCGCAGTCAACTACATGGGATTCCAGCGACATAGCCATTATGCTAACCGCTGGGCCCAAGTATAATTTTTAAAAATTAAATAAAAAAAAACAGCAACTATTTATTACCACACAATTCTGTGGGTCAGCAGTTTGAACTGGGATGAGCTGGGCACTGCTGGTCCTAACTGGACTTATTCATGCACCTGTGGTGAGCTGGTAGTGAGTTAGGCAGCTCTGCTTCTAGGAATTATTTGGGTGTCCACTAAAGCCATTGGGAGTGACTGATCTCATGTTCCTCATTATCCCTCCCCCTAGCCTTGGCCATGGAACAGTTTCAGTTTTCTGTAAGTGTGAGAGGCTGCAGAGCCTCTTCAAAACTGGGCCCAGGACACACAGTATCGGTTCAGCTGCATTTGATAAATAAAGCAAATAAGAAAGCTAGCCCAGATTCAAGAGTAAGGGTATGCAACTCTACCCCCTGATACGAAGAGCAAAAAGTACTGCACTCATTTTTATAATCGTCCACATGTTCTATAGACCCATTTTCCAGAAAAATCCATTAGTGTCTGTTTTTTGGTATTTTATAAATACAAAAGCATATGCTTTTGTGCTTTTCTCTCTTTAATGATCTCAGATACTTTTCCATCTCATCAGCATATCAGGGATATTTTTTCTTTTTAGTAGTAAATTTTTGAATTACTATTTTGTTGGAATTGTCTCACTCCCATCTCTCCATTTTCTTTATTGTACCTCAATTAAAATACTGGATATTCTAAAAATAATCTTATCTAAAAATGTTGTCTTGAGGGACCAGCAGATGGCATAATGGTTACATCACTGGATTCCCATGTAGTCAAACACAGTTTGAGTCCTGAACCCAGCAGCTTAAAATTCGCGTCAGGCACGTGTGTGTATGTGTGTGTGTGTGTGTGTGTGTGTGTGTATGTGTGTGTGTGTGTGCGTGCCCACAATTCCAAGAAGAGAATGGAGGAGAAGGGATTGCAGTGTGGCCTACCTCCCTGGGGAGTGATTTCTTGCTTTCTGTCTCTCTGGCAAGCACATGTGCCCTATAACAAAACCTCTCTTAAAAAAGAAAAAAAAGAAAGAAAGTTTGGCTTGATTCTCTCCCCTACCTCTGACCATTTCCTTCAGAATTCCTAAATACAGAAGTATGTCTGCCTACTGCTTCCTACTTCCTGTAATAGTTACTCTGGGCTAATTTGCCCTGTGACTTTTAAGTCACCAGATCATAAATTTCTATTCATTTATCTGCCTATACCAGTGATGGTAAGTGTTTTATTTATTCATATAGTCAAGCACCTACATGGAACCTCACATAATGTGGGCATTTATTAGGTAATTAATAAATAAATGAATGAACATTAATGAATGGATGGTTCAATGCAGATGCTTTCTCATGGTGTTTACTGTGAGCTATATAGCATCTGATTACAGGTACCTCCTCCCTTTCTTCTAACTTGTGACTCATCTTTTACAGTAAGGATGTCTTTTTTTAATACCTCCTACCTGATCTCCCATATGCAAATCAACACTATCAGCTTCCTTGTGTGCACATATGAGGAGTTTCGCCTGGTAGTCTCTCTTTTTTTTAAGAATTATTTTTTATTTAAAAAGTAATTTTTATATTATTTATTTATTTATTTATCTATTTTAATTTGACCAGAGAGGGAGGGAGGGAGCAGGAGAGAGAAAGAAAGTGAGTGAGAAAGCAAGCCACCAGGCCCAGGACTCAACCGTAGTCGGCCATATGGAAGTCCAGTGACCTTAACCACCACACTACTTGCCAGTCCCTAGACTCTCTTTCTTCATTAGAGAATTTCTCCTTTGTATATGCTTTAAGTGATGAGGCCTCTCTGGAAACAAGGGCCTTCTCCCTTTGTTCTTTCATGTATACAGGAAAAGAATGCAATTGTGCAACTGTGAATATAATGTTATGTGTTTGTCAGTTAGGCCATATTAATAATGTGCTTTAGGTGATGATTTTTGTCTTTGTTCTGTTATTGTCAGAGGTAAAATATCCTACTATTATTTGGACTTGTGTATTTGTCCTTTCAATTCTATCAAGTTTTGTCTGTTTGTGATTTAGATTTTTGCCATAGGACACATGCACTCGCCAGAGAGACATAGAGAGAGAAAGACAGAGAGAGAGAGAAAGTGAGAAATCACTTCCCTACTCCCACCTCTGCCATGTGGGAATCCAGCATCTGAACTACCCCGCCACCTGCTGGCCTCTGTCAAGATTTTTTTTTTTAATTCCTCTTATACATTCAATCACATATGTCACTTAGCGTATAAAGAGGATGTTCCAACATGAATACCTTTCTCACCAGTCCAGTTGGGAATATTATACACATTATCATGTCAAGTTTTAAAGTTTATTTATTTATTGTAAGAAAGAAAGGGAGAGAGACGTAAACTCTCAGAGTCTTGTCACACCATGATCCACACCCCATCCCTAGTCTGATGTATTCAGGTGCACTCAGGACCAAACCCTGGGCCTTCCCATATGGTTCCAGAATTGTGAAATGGCACCCGATCATTTACACCACGGCAGCTGGACCGAGTTCTGCTGATTTTCACTTTATGTATTTTAAACCTACATTACAGAGTATAGAGACATTTTAAATTGTGATGTTTCCTGTTGAAATGACCCTTTACTATTATGACATGTCCTTTTTTTTATTATTATTACAAAGCTACTTTTAATACTTTGGGGTGAGCCCCACAGGAATAAAAAAACACTGGGAAGAGGTAACCCCTCACCCGCCCCCCCAAGTGACCCAGGGGGAGAGAGGCTACCAGAGGGGAAGGAAGCACAAAAGGGACCCGCTGCAGACCCAGGGCAAAGGGAACGCCATCAGTGCTGAGACCTGTGAGGACTACAGGAGGACACACAAGCGCGGTGGGACTGGCTCCAGGCACACAGGCGAAGGGCAAGAGGGCTGGACAGGAAGCCACAAAGCTACTTGGGTTCCTCCTTCTTCTTCTTTGCCTTTTTCCGCTTTTGTTGCCTGCCTCCGTTGAGTCCCCTCCTCCTGTCTGATGTCGTAGGCCTGCCTGTCTCTCTTTATCTTTAGAGATGTGACTTACTTTATTTTGTCTGATATCAGACTCTAGCTTTCTTTTGATTAGCGTATACATGATATACTTTTCCCATTGTTTTACTTTACCCTTCCTGTATCTTTTTGGTATGTCTCTTATAAGCAGTATAGACTTGAATTTTTTTTTATAAAGAAAACACATTAGTAAGTTCTGACTTCTAACTGGAGTATTGAGCCCACTTAGATTTAATGTAGTTACTAGTATATTTCTGATATATTTAAATGGCTTCCCCAACGCTGTTGGCATGTTAGTGGCGGTGCTCACACCATACATTTCCTGACTTCTGGCCCAGGATGTTCACTAGCCATTACCTCAGATGGGTTAAAGGCTGTATGCCTCACCCCTACCCCTGCATTTGTCACTGCTATAATCCTAGTCTGTCAAGTCCTTCATTGACCTGGAATCAGATTCTGGAGTTCTGCCCCTACTGTTGAAAGAGAGGCAAGAACAAAGGAATATTAATAGCCTCTCCTTTCCAAAAGCCCACAATAGAGTTGAGAGCTTTTCAAAGAAACCGGCTCCATTATTGAACTAGTATAAACAACTGTGAACTTTCTTGGACTCACCTGAAGGCCTTAAGATCTGGCAGTAAGTACAGGTTCAGGACTTCAGTGTCCTCCTCCAGGTTGGGAACCCACAACAAATCAAGATTAGGACTACATCCAGGACCATAGACATCAGCAAAGAGTTCTACATACCATATTGCCAGTACTCCCTAACTCACCTGTTTCACTTTTTGTTTTGTTTTGTTTTAAGATTTTTGTCATAGGACACATGAGCTCACCAGAGAGACAGTAAAAGTGTCCTCCTGGGATTTGGGGCAAGCACGTACATGTGCCCAGCATAATTTTCAAGCTGCCTGATCCAGGGAATCAGCCAAGGGAGTATCCAGTTCCTTAACTACTACACCACTTGCTAGCTCCATATCTGTTTCACTTTTAAATGCAAGAACGGCTTTAAGTATTCTGAACACAGCTAGAGAGACACAGGAGAGACCATTGATAATCTGGGAGTACAAAGTTAAGAGAAATCGCTTACCTTGTCTGCAGGTGTACATGATGAACATAGTACCTCACTCTTGTAGCAGACCTTTTCACCCTGAAAAAAGACTCAACTTGAATCTATCTTGCCATTCTAAGCACTTGTGCCAAGACAGGCAATGCACCTAGACAGTCTCCACAAGCTGTGACATCAAAATCTCTCTGCTCCAAAGATTTTCTTGCACCAGCATGTTTTTTCATGTACAATTTTCACAATAGTTACTCTTACTAAAATTAATTTATTTGGTGTGAATAAATGTTTATTTTGGAGCTTTATCTGGAGAAGAAATAGATTTTAGGTGCAATACGGTATTGGTTTGACTGGTAATCTTTATTTTATTTTATTTTATTTTTAGAGAGAGAGACTTTTGCTAGAGGGTGTGTGTGCTCACTAGAGAGACAGAAAACAAGAAATCACCCCCCAGGGGGAATGGTCACACTGTGATACCTTCTCCTCAATTCTCCTCTCAGGATTTTAGGCACGCATGCATTTGTGCCCAGTGAGAGTTTAAGCCACCAGGTCCTGGACTTGAACCACAGTTGACTATGTGGGAGTCCAGTGATGTAACCATTACACCATCTGTTGATCCCTTGACTGTGTTCTTAAGGAACTTTCAGTCAAATGGGAGATTGCACAAACGTGCAAATATTCTATGTTGATAATTATCACTTGTAGAGTGTTGATTATGCACTTGAGTTTTCACAAATATTTGTTTAATGCTTAAACTGCCCTGTGAAGTAGTCATTTTATTCCACCTTAACAAATTAGGAAACTAAGATTAGGGAGCTTCCAGTCAAATGGGAAATTGCATAAACATGTGTAAATATTCTTCAATGATAATTATCACTTAGAGGGTGCTGATTATGCACTTGTGTTTTCACAAATATTTGTTTAATGCTTAAAAGTGCTCTGCAAATTAACCATTTTATCCTCCTTTCATAAATTAGGAAACTAAGATTAAGGAATTTTCAGAATTTCCCACACTTAAGTGTGGTTTTGAACCTCATAGTACAAAGGACTTGAACATTAGTCTGTGTGGCCCTTTCCACTGGATTCATGCTTCTTCCCTAAAAATGCTCCAATAAAAAAAGAAAGAAAGAAAGAAAGAAAGAAAGAAAGAAAGAAAGAAAGAAAGAAAGAAAGAAAGAAAAGAAAAAAACAATGACTTAGCTGAGTGGTAGAAACAAAACACCAGAGAAACAGAAGTGAGGAGGGTTGTCCCTTCCAACTATGATGATCAGGGACAGTGTCATGGTGGAAAGCATTTCAAATAGGCCTCTAAAGATGGTGGTGGGAGGTGGTACAGGAAGTAAACATTCTATTTTCTAAGTGCAGAGAATGGGCTTAGCAAAAGGGTGGAGAACAGGTTGTTTTTGAACATGAAGAATAGTATAATTTTCTTTTTTTTTTTTTGGAGAGGTTTTTGCTATAGGGCGCATGCGCTCGCCAGACAGACAGAGAGAGACAGAGAGACAGAAAGTGAGAAGTCACCGCCTAGGGGGGATGGTCATGCTGCATCCCTTCTCCTCCATTCTTCTCTCAGGATCTTGGGCACGCACGCACACGCATCTGGCGTGAGTTTTAAGCCACCGGGTCCGGGACGGGAACCGCGGTCGACTACATGGGAGTCCAGCGACATAGCCATTACGCTAACTGCTGGTTCCCAAGAATAGTATAATTTTTTAAAAATAATTTTTAATTTTATTTATTTATTCATTTATTTTAATCTTATGAGAGAGAGAAGGGAAAGTGAGAAAGCAAGCCACCAGGTCCAGGATTCGAACCATGGTTGGCCATGTGGGTATGTCCAGCACCTTAACCACCATGCCACCTGCTGGTCCCAGAATAGTACAATTTAATATGTAAGGTTTATACTGAGGGGTTAGCAGAAGGAAGACTGGAAAGGTAAATTGAGACAGTGGGGTTTTGATGACAGGTAAAAAAGGAAGGATTCTCTTTATGAGGCAGTAAGAATCTATTAAATCCTACATCTTACCACCAGAGACTAGAGGAACTTTAGAACCATTTAAAGAAATATGGGCAACAGAAAGGTGCTGGCCTAGGGGGGAAGAATCACCTGGATAGTGTCATCCATTAGGCTCAAGGTCTGGTGGACAGGACAAAGACCCTGAGAGAGACCAAACCCAGGGAAGCATCACAGAGGGAAGGAGACACTCCCCAGCAGAGAGGAGCCAAGTAGATGCTATTTTAAGGCTGGGACAGAGTAGGAGGAACAGGAATAGGAAAATTAATAGGGGGGGAAGGTAAAAAATGTGGGGGCACAACGACAGCCCTCTATATCTCTTACAATGAGTTGAATGAATGACAGCAAAAAATGAATGAATGCAAAGTTGGTCAAGGCTTCCATCTGACACAGTGTGTGAAATAACTTATTAGTTGCTTTGCCACCCAAGCAGATAATATAGCCCACTGTACATAAACCATTTTGAATTATATAAACTACTCAATAATGGAGTTTATTAGTATGGTTCCTGGGCTTAAGTTTAATCTTTCTTTTTTGTAAAATGAAGTCAAGATAGTATTGTTTCTCTGTCAATTATGGGTTCTTAAAAGGGTTTAAGCTTTGTGAGCACTGCCAATATCAACATTCACTTTGGAGACAATCATGTACAGGAGAAGCTGATAAAGCACAGGAGATGATGAGGAGGGTATAAAAGGCAGTTTGGACAAGGGGGAGCTCTACCATTGAGGCAAGATGGCCAAGCTCACCCTCCTCACTGGTAAGAAACCACCTAAACTCTGCTTGTGAGTCATTGTCTCCCTCATTTTCTGCCCCTTTGGAGCTTTCTTTTACCTTTGTACTCACATCAAATCACCGGGAATTATTGCTTTCAGCAAAACTATGGGAATATATTTCCTCCCCTGGTAGTAGGTTTTCCACTGCCCAATAGTCTCCCAGCCTTTGCCAACCCACAGAGCATCATGGCATTTAAATGGTCTTAGGAATGGGAGTAGAGAAAGTGAACTCCCAGGAGAAATCTTGAGACTTCATCAGTCTCCGTAAGTAGGATGCCTACAGAGACCCTAAAATGAAGTCAGTAGTTTACAAAGGCAGCTCTCCACACAGATGTGTTCCTTAAATTCATTATTCTCTCTTGCTTTAAGGTCTGCTCCTTCTGCTGACAGCTGAGCTAGGTATGTATTCTTGGGAAGATTTATCATATTGTTCCTTTCTTGTTTCTTCATAATTTATAAACTCAATATGGACTTGTGTATTTTCACTTCAAATAAAAATATTAACTACTTTTTCAGAGAGTTGGAAATTCCCAATCAAATTTAAGAGCTTGAGACCACAGACCTAAAATTCCCGAAGCTGAAACCAACTAGATGACAGTCTTAAATGTTAACAATAATTAATAATAAGTTGTAAGGCATCTACTGCCTTCTTCTCTGTTAAAGCATTTCCTAATGTCATCTTAGCTTTTCTTTAAGACAAGACATTAAGACAAGTTTTCTCTGCGAGGAAAGGCATTGCTACCCCATGTCACGGGCTGGTTAACCAAACAGAGATAAGCCAGATGACTTGTCCCAGGTGATATGGTGAGTTCACGGTGAAATTTAAGCCAGAAGCCAGGACTCTTGGCTCCTGGTATATGGATCACTTCCCACTGGGTGGAATTATTACTGCCCCCCTGCAATCCCCAGGAAATAGCTACAAGTGCTAAATAGGCCTACACCATAATCCTTTCTATAGCTCAGTTTCCAAAAGGGTAAAATGAGAAAAATAATAGTAGCTACTTCACAAGGTTTGGGTTAAGATTAAGGAATGAATATAAGAAAATTACTCAGAGCATTGTTTAATATTTAAGTACTCAATATGCATTAACAATTGCTATTACTAGCATGTAGGGGAGTCTAGAACACATCTAAATCAGAGTTTACCAACTTTAAATTTTATTTCAGCTAAAAGCACTGATTTTCAAGGTTTATTTTCATTCTTTGTTGGAGGGACAGAGCCACCTTCAGCCTTGAGTCACTTGCTAATTATGGGTGTGAGGCAATACATAAAGTTCTCATACTGATTTTCTGCTTCTGCTTAGAGACTTAAATGAGAAAATTATTTAGAAACCTGCTTTTTAAAGAAATCTATGACTCCAAGGCACCTTTCTTCCTCTCCTCCTCTGGGTAACAGGTTCTGCCTATCAGCTGACTTGCTACTTCACCAACTGGGCTCAGTACCGACCAGGCCTGGGGCGCTTCAAGCCTGATGACATCGACCCTTGCCTCTGTACTCACCTCATCTATGCCTTTGCTGGGATGAGGAACAATGAAATTGCCACCATCGAATGGAATGATGTGACTCTCTACCAAGCTTTCAATGGCCTGAAAAACAAGTGAGGACAGAACTGAGGCTTAGAATCGTTTCATTTTTGAGAACAGTTTGAATAAGACTTTCCAAAGCAGCCTTGAGGCTGAAACTCCAAAAAGGCCAACATGCAGCATCTAGTAAACTTGGTGCTTTCTTATCATTTCTGGTGCAGAGATGACTAATATTAAGGGGCATGGCAGGCTTATAGGAGGTGGTTGTCAGTTTTAGTCCAGCTCAGTTACCAAGGGAAATTTTTAGAAGTCCAGCTACTGGTGGACAACTACTGGAAGGGAATAATCTTCGACTTGGGAGTGATCTGAAGCTGGTATTGATAAAGTATTTGGTCTTCTCAGATAGGGATTCCACACCAACAGGAGTGATTAGAACTGTGACGACACTGAAACATACCAATCCAGGGAACATATTTCAACTACTCAAATAAGGGAATAAGGATGAGAATGAAGACAAACCAGAATGAGAGTCTGCATGAGACATTTTTGGGCTTCTTGACCACTGTAGAAGCTAAATGTTGAAATGGCTTCCTTTTCTTCCTATTTGATCTGACACAACACTTTGCTTTTTTTCCCTTCAGAAACAGTGAGCTAAAAACCCTCCTGGCTATTGGTGGCTGGAACTTTGGCACTGCTCCGTAAGTTCTTTGTTGAGATAACTTCCTAGGTTGATTTTACAAGGCATTAGTCCCATTAAGGCCACATCACGCCTTTTTGGGTCTCCCTCAGTTTCACCGCCATGGTTTCCACTCCTGAGAACCGCCAGACTTTCATCGCCTCGGTCATCAAATTCCTGCGCCAGTACGAGTTTGACGGGCTGGACTTTGACTGGGAGTACCCTGGCTCTCGAGGAAGCACGCCTCAGGACAAGCACCTCTTCACTGTCCTGGTGCAGGTGATCTGAGTATTACATCATTTTGACTAGAAACACACATCAATCTCATATGAAAGATTACTGAGACCCTACAGAAAATCTAGATCCCTTCAATCTCAATTGGAGATAAAGGACCTAGAGACTCTGTTCCAGTGAGGATGATGAAAAATTGATGAAGAGCTCAATTTAACTAGAAGTCATGAAAGCTGATTTAGAGTTTGTATTCATAGATTTTTTTTCCTACTCCTATATAGGAAATGCGTGAAGCTTTTGAGCAGGAGGCCAAGCAGATCAACAAGCCCAGGCTGATGGTCACTGCTGCAGTGGCTGCTGGTATCTCCAACATCCAGTCTGGCTATGAGATCCCCCAGCTGTCCCAGTGAGTGATGCACCTTATCTTCAAATTCCTGTAGGCGTCACTTAGGCAGAGTCCACTTGTCCTTGGTCTGTCTCGATGTTCAGGAATGTTATCTAGGAGGCTTTGGAAGTGGTGTCTAGCCTGCGCAAGTGTGTGAAGTGACCACGATCAATTATTTTTAAAACCTCTACCCCACCTCAGGTACCTGGACTACATCCATGTCATGACCTATGACCTCCATGGCTCCTGGGAAGGTTACACTGGAGAGAACAGCCCCCTCTACAAATACCCAACTGACACTGGCAGCAATGCCTACCTCAATGTGGTAAGTCCCTGCACAGATGCAAATGCTGACCAGAGATGTTAATGCAAATCAGTGGATATTCAGAGACAAAAGCCAACATAAGTTTAGTAATTTTATCAAATGATAAATTAGGCTGCCATAATTAACTAGTTCCCCTTTACTAAAAATCTCCAACTTATTAACACTACACTGATCATTTTATCGTACAGGGAAAATGATTGATAACAAGTGCTTCACTTTTAATAAAAGACAAGGAGGTACCTTTGCTCATATTGCAGTAAATTATAAAATGCTTTCTACCTTTCTCCTTTTCCTATTCCCTTTTTATTTATCTATTTTCTACTTTTTTATTAAAATTGAAAAAACTTAGAAATTTTTGCTGTGGGGTGTATGCGCTTACCTAGAAAGACAGAGTCAGAGAAACAGAAACTGAGAAATCACTCTCAAGGGGGATGGCCATGTTGCAATCCTTTCTCCATTCTACTCTCGGGATCTTGGGCATGTATGCACATGCAACTGGCATGAGTTTCAAGCTACCTGGTTCAGGACTCAAACTGCGGTCAGCCATGTGGGAGCCCAGTTACATAACCGTTATGCCTTCTGCTAGTCCCATCTATTTTCTACTTTTCTAATCTCTCGCCCGTGTATATTATATAGAATTTCAGCCATTAAACAATGGATGATACTAGGAAAACCATGAAGAAAAAGTTTAGTCTTTCTATCATATATTTTTTTATCAGAAGGGTCTATGCTAAGCCTACATATTGGCATGCTAGTAAAAATGGTCTGGTTGGGTCAGCTCTGCAATTCGGTGGTTAAGCACAATAGAGAGGAAACTGGATCCCACATGCCTATTGGGGTTCAAGTCCTGGCCCTGTCAGCTTCATGCCAGGTTTGTGCACTTGTGCTCAGTATCCTGGTGGGATGAAGAGTGGAGGAAAAAGAATTGGGAAGTGACCAGCTCCTTGCAGGGGGAAGGGAGGGGAAGTACTCTCTCCCTCTCTCTCTATCATGAATAAAAAATAATTTTAAATAAAAAAGGTTAGTTGATATAGGGATACATCACTTCTACAGAGTAGTATGGCGATAATACTGTAAACTATTAGGTTGTTGGGAAAGTCCTGATGTATTTTTCTACATTTTTTTATGCCAAAGTCCATTATGGCTTTCCCAAAGACCCAATATATTTTAAGTATTTTGTACAGCAGCCATGACCACCCTCACACAAAAAGCTTAGTTAGTAATTCATTACTGGGCCATCCATTGGGAATGAGGTCTCTAGCAAACCCATTGCCATTCAGGATTATGCCATGAACTACTGGAAGGACAATGGAGCCCCAGCAGAAAAGCTCATCGTTGGATTCCCAGCCTATGGACACACCTTCCTTCTAAGCAACCCTTCCAACCATGGAATTGGTGCCCCCACTACTGGCCCTGGCCCTGCTGGGCCCTACACCAGACAGTCTGGGTTCTGGGCCTACTATGAGGTAAGCACCTGGGAATTTGAGAGAGAGGGGAAAAGATGGCTTTCTGTTAGTCCATGTATTTAATGATTTAAAATTTTGCATTTTAAGACTTATTTAGCAAGCTATTGGGCTTAAAGTGGATGTTTATGTCTATCTGGAAAGGAGGAAGATAAGCTCTCCTATAATACTACCTCAGCTGGACCATCACTAGGGTCTCTTTAGACTGGATTCCCAATGCAGAGAAAGAAGGAAAGCAGATATCATTAGCGAGATTAGTCAATCAACAGACACTTCTGACTTCCAGGGCAAGAGCTTCTTCTTACATTAATAAATGACCCAGGTGGGATAAAGAATCAGAATCCCAATTAAACTGAGAAATTTGCTGATAGAGCCATAGGCATATAAGCATTTTTCATACAAGTCTCTACTTCCTCTCCCCATGTCCTTTAGCCTCTGCCACAAAGACACTCTTGCCAATCTCTTCATTATATTCTTTCAGATCTGTACCTTCCTGAAGAATGGAGCTACTGAGGTATGGGAGGCTCCTGAGGATGTTCCCTATGCTTACAAAGGCAATGAATGGCTTGGATACGACAATACCAAGAGCTTCAAAATCAAGGTAGACTGCATTCTTTGGACTGTTATTGCCATCAGTCTGTTTCCATTGGTAGCCCTGGAACTACTTGTTGGTGTTTTTCTCTCTAATTACCACAGGCTGAGTGGCTCAAGAAGAACAACTTTGGAGGTGCCATGGTCTGGGCCATTGACTTGGATGATTTCACAGGCACTTTCTGCAACCAGGGCAAATTCCCTCTGATCACCACCCTGAAGGATGCCTTGGGCCTCCAGAGTGCAAGTGAGTTGGGGGTGGAAGGGACTCTAGGCCTTAGACTTGAGAGAAATTCAAAGGCTCCTTAGAAGTTCAGGGAGCCATTTTACAAGAGATCATATGACTATTGATCTACATGTACTGGTAGTGATTGTTTAATGGTGAGGAGAACAAACAGGGACATTAATCATCTTTTTATACATTCATTCATTCAATAAGCAATTTATTGAACATCTATTATATATGTATCACCATGTAGGTACCATATATATCCCAAATGCATAAATCATCATCTCTACTCTATAGTTTACAATTCCATGAGAGAGGATGGTCAAAACTGCACTATTGGAAAACAATAAGACAATATTGCATGGCGAAGTGCCCTAGAAAAGGCTAAGTAACTTTCTTTGAGTTGATGACAACAAGAAATCTCAAAGTATTAGTATGATCTATGAAGGAGGAAAAAATTAACTGTGCCTTAGATGATGAGGATGGAGTTGATGAGAAAGGGATGGGGCACACGGGACTGGCAAACCAGTCAGAAGACTGAAATATACAGAGTCATGGAAGGAAGAGCCAAGAACAAAATCCAGTGTATTTGTTCTCATATGCCAGGTATCGCTGGCTAAAAGATGTGGGGTTCAGGATTTGTTTTTGTTTATGTTTTTTTTTCCTTTCAGGTTGCAAAGCTCCAGCCCATCCCATTGCTCCCATTACCGAGGCTCCTAGCACAGGCGGGGGCAGCTCAGGAAGCAGCTCTGGGAGCAGTTCTGGGAGCAGCTCTGGGGGCAGCCCCAGTGGCAGTGGATTCTGTGCCAACAGAGCCAGTGGACTGTACCCTGATCCCACTGACAAGAATGCTTTTTACAACTGTGTGAATGGAAAGACCTTCACTCAGCACTGCCAGGCAGGTCTTGTCTTTGATGCCTCCTGCTCCTGCTGCAACTGGTGATAATGTTTGTCTGATACCACCTCACCCACTCCATCCTCAGAAATGGTTGTGCAATAAAGGATTGAGCATTATTGTGTAATGGCTTCTGCTTCTTTACTGAAGGATGTTAGATTTAATTAATTCCAGTCTCCTAGTGGTGTATTGTTCCACTAGCCTGCCAGCCATGCAGTTTCTATGGCAAATAGATGCAGCATGCACAGCTCTCTCCAGGGTATTGGGCAGTAGAAGCAGATGGGAGTCAGAGAAGATACTTAGTCCCTTCATTTTCAAGCATGTTCACAGAGATAGGCTAGAGAACACAGAGACGTGAGACTCAGACAATAACCCATAAACAAATGCATCTATGTATATACCTTGGAGAAATCATTTCAGTTTTTCAAGGGGTGCTATATTGACGACTTAGAAGTATTTATATTTATAGTAATTAATGAAGACATAGGTTTGAGTAAGATTTTTTAAAATTGTTCTACCAAATTGATTATGGAATAATGACAAGCAAAAAAAAGTCTGTACATGTCCAGTATGGGTAACTCCTTTTCCCACATGTTTTCTTTTTTCTTCTCTGATTGGACCATCCATTTTACTCAATGATAAATAATTTTAAGTATGTACATTTTTAAAAAATAAAAACAACTAATATGCATTATGTAGAGGAATACAAAGTACATATTGAGGGACCAGTAGATGGCATAATGGTTACGTTACTGGACTGCCATGTCCCAGCCCTGGCAGCTTAAAACCCATGCTGGGCACAGGTGCGTGCATGCTTACGATTTTTTAAAAAATATTTTATTATAATTTTAAAGGGACCAAAGCTAATTTTTGGCTTATATATTTACTATTTAAAATCCAAATATACAAAATCAAAGAGAATAGTATGCCTTCATAAACTTATTACCTAGGTTTGACAATTATCAATTGATGACCAACTTTGCTTTATCAGTAGTACCACTCACTCTTGCCTCTCCCCATTTTATTTTAATTATATATTCATTTTTCAGGGCATATACATTTGCTGGAGAAAGAAAGACGGAAAATGAGGACCATCCCCTAGTGGGGATGTCTATCTTGTAATCTCCTCTCCTCTTAGGATCTTGGGCACACACACATGTGCACTGAGATGGTTTTTATTTTTTAAGATTTTTTTATTATTATTCATATATTAAATCACTACACATCATTTAGATTGCAGAGACTTTACCCAGCATGATTTACACCTCAGTCCAGCCCAGTTGAGACTATTATACACATCCTCATCAACAGATAATAAACATTATCTGTGTCCCACAAGTGTCTTACCTCTCCATTTCCCCCCCCAAATTTCCTTTCCTACACTCTTCCCCTCTCACACTCTCTTTCCACATTGTCTCTAGTGTCCATTACAATTTTTAATACTTTTATGCTCTCCAGTATTTCAGTCTCTACCATAGAGTGCATGCAAACAGTTGGTAAATGTTAAGTGGAGACATACAATGTTTCTCTTTCATATAGCCCCAAGGCCAAAAGCAGGCAAAGGTGGAGATGCCAACAGCTTTCTGCCCTGGCTAATGCTGGGTCTGGGACCATTTGAGTAGGATTTTGAAGGAGCAGGTAAAATGGTGACACCAGAGAGATGCAGTACTGTGGGAAGGCAAAGTGAGTGAACTGATCTATGTAAAAATTTGGAGGTTGATTTAGCCAATCTTCTTGGTTTTGTTTTATTATGTTTTTGTAATTGCCAGTGGATGCATGTACACATATGCTCATTAGAGAGGAAGGGAGAGAACTCCCTAAAGGGACATGCTCATGTCATGACCCCTTCTCTATTTTGCCACTCTGTTGAATTTAAGGCATACATGCACACACACCTGGCATGTTTTTTAAGTCACCAGGGCTGGAATTCAAACTGCAGTAGGTCAAGTAAGATATGGTTCCCTGTGCACAACAGGGACTACTGCACTATGGGATTGACCTTGTTTTGTTTTTTTGTGTCTTAGTTTCTTTCTTCTTTCTCTCTTTCTTCCTTTTTTTTTCTTTCTTTCATGAGTGACAGAGAGACAGAGACAGAGAGAGAAAGACAAGAATCCTCAGTAGGATCTCATGCTGCAAGCATTCCCCACAGCCTTTCCCATCCAGCCAGGCTCATGAGCACATACTTGTGAACCATCATGAACAGGTGTACCAAGAAACCGAACCCTGATGTTCTGTATGACCTCCAACACTGCAGAGCATTGTGTCACCATGGCTAGGCCAGGGTTCTTAATTTTTAAGTGATATGCAATTTATAAAAATTGTTAGCTCACTAGGGCCAGCAGGTGGCATGATGATTAAGGGTGCTTGGACTTCCACATGGCCAAATGTGGTTCAAGTCCTGAACCTGGAGGTTTGCTTTCTCACTTTCCCTCTCTCTCTCTCTCTTTCTCTCTCTCTGTCTCTCTGTGGAAATACTAAAAATAATAATAATAAATAAAAGTTAAATAAAATAATTTTTAAAAAATTGTTAGCTCACAAACTCTCAGGGGTGGTGGGCAGAGAGCTAGGAAAAAGCCTATTTTTACTGTGGGGGTGCTCTAGTTGAGAAACTCCAGAGTCGCAGTGAACCAGCAACATTCAGCATTGCTGCCAGCAGCTCTCCCTGCTGCCCTGGAGAGTAAATCACATCCACCATTGCACTTCCTAGAAGGTAAATTCCTTCATGTGTGGTCATCTCCTCATGTTGTTGATTCTGAACAGAGAGAAGAGGCTGGGTTACAGGCCTTCCTCCACCCTCACCCCAACTGTGGAGGAGACAGAAAATATGATTTTCCTGAATTCTGCTTGGGAAAATGGGATCAATAGAGAAGAAATCATCAAAACATAGGAAGATATATCAGAACATTGGATGGCTACAAATGCCCCACACTAATGATAGAAACAAAAGATTAGGACTTAGAAGGTGTATTTCAAACAAAAAGCACACTTTGTACTCTAGCAGAATTCAGGAAAACTCTCTAGATAGTATAACACTGCCCAGGAGTGAGGACCACTGGGCAGCCAAATATGGCTAGAAAGATTGTACCACAAAATTTCGCATATCAGATTGGAATGAAGTCAATAAATGGAATTATAGATGATAGTCTACTTTTCTAATTTTCCCAAATTTTTCACCATCTCTAAGAAACAAGAATGATTTACCTGATCTACATACCTTAATAGCTTTTTATAAGAAAAAGATGTATTAAAGTCTTGTCAATTTATTCAATATTACCTTTTCTCTTCTTCTCTGGTAACTTCTACCATTTCTCTTCATACCTGATGTTCTGCAATTTCATTGTATTAGTTTATGTTTAGTTTTATATCTAGGTATTATTTTTTTCTTCTGCTTCATACTCAAGGCTCATTTTCAATCTGAGAATTCAACTCTTTCTGTTTAAATGCTCAGCCTTTATTTCTTTTCTTTTCTTTCTTTTTTTTTAGAGCCATTTTTGCTATAGTGTACTCACCAGAGACACAAAGAGAGACAGAGAGACAGAAAGCAAGAAATCACCCCCTGAGGGGATGGCCATGCCACAATTCCTTCTTTTCCATTCTTCTCTCGGGATTTTAGGCACTCATGCACACGTGCCTCACATAAGATTTAAGCCTCTGGGTCCACGACTTGAACCTTGGCCTATGACATGCTAGTCCAGCGATGTAACCGTTTTGTCATCCACTGGTCCCAGGCTTTATTTCTTTTAACTATAAATTTTAATTGGTCAAAATAACACATGTACATAATTAGAAAGTCAAATACTACTACTAATGATTATAAAATTTAAAAAGTAATTCCCTAGAGGTTAGTATCATCAGCTATATTTCTTAGCATCTGTTCATTGGCTATTACAAATAAAATGGAAAGAGTAGATAACCAGATAGAAATAATGTTGTAACTCATAGCAGAAATATGCTTTTCAACAAAAATTCTTTCAATTTTAATTTAAAATAAGAAAGATAAATAAGATTAAGAACAGAGTAATTCCTGAATTTTATGTACTTCTTCAGCAAGATTTATTCGACAAATACTTATTGAGCACCTGATTTATTCCAGGTGCTATTCTATGTAGTTAAGATATGGCAGTGAAAGAAATAAATATAAATCTCTGCCTAGGTAGAGCATGTATCTCAACAGGGACACAGATATTAGATAATGAATACAGTAAATATATAAACAGTATAGTATCAGAAGACTTCGAAATGTTTGTGGAAAATGGAATTAAAGTACAAGGGGGTTTTTTGGTACAAATTTTTTCTGAAACTCATGCACAATTTTTTGATAAAATGCATCTTCCATGAACTTTTGGAAGACTCTTCATGTATTAGACATTAAAATGTGTTGGAAGAATGTAAAGGAGAGTAGGGGACCCTGTGGGTGCCAGTGAAGGGTTTGTTGTTTTGAAGGAGTGGTTGCACAGGCCACCGACAAGAGAACAAGTGAGTAAAGCCAGTTTCTTAAGCATGTGACCTGTGCACTTAATGTTTTTCTGTAGCATCTTGTGATCCTTAACTCTTGAACATAAAGTCCTACATTTTTATTTTGCATGGGGAATCTATAAATTATGTGAGCAACTATATGAAGGAAGTGAAGAGGTTAGTCTTGTGACTATCTGGGGGCTGGATGGTGTTACTAGCAGAGGGAAAGACTTGTGGAAAGAAACAAAGGAAAGAGAATTTTCAACATTTCAAACAAATAACAGCAAGGAGGCCAGCGTAGTTGGAGAAGAGAATAAGGGTGGGGGTCAGAAGAGAGCAAGGGTGGAAGTGGGGCCTGTGACTGGGGAGAAGCTGTAGAAGGTGTGGTCAGCAGGGGGAAGATTGTTTAGGGCAGCGGTGAACAAACTTTTTCTGTAAAGAGCCAGGCCCTGGGGCCAGCAGTTAGCATAATGGCTATGTCACTAGGCTCCCATATAGTCTACCGCAGTTCGCATCCCGGACCTGGTGGCTTAAACTCACGCAGGGCGTGTGTGTGTGTGTGTGCCCAAGATCCTGAGAAGAGAACAGAGGAGAAGGGATTGCGGTGTGGCCCTCC